TTGTTGTTGTTGTTGTTGTTGTTGTTGTTGTTGTTGTTGTTGTTGTTTTCAATTGAGTCAAAGTTTTTTTTTTTTATTTAACATTTGATATTTTAGCTGTTTTTATATCAAAACGCTCATTTAAGAGTACATTTTGAAAATATAAAATAAAGTATTTAGAAAAGTTTACATTAAAACAAAAATGTGCTGATTCAGCAAACTGGTTCTATGTTTGTATTTTTTATTTTTAGCTGCTGTTTTGCTACATTTAGGTTTTGGTTAGCTTAGCTTTTAGCAAGGCTTTTGATACTTTTAGTTGCTTTAAGTCAAGCCATTTTTTAAAACACTTTTAAAAACAGCAGTTGTTACCAAAGTGCCTAGCAATGAAAAACTTTAACTACCTTAGCTTTTAGCTAGCGTTTTGCACATCCAACTTTAGCTAAACTTTTAGTATTTTCAGCATTAACTAACATTTCACTCCATTAAGCCTTTGCTAATCCTTGGCTACTTTAGCCAGCATTTTGCTACATTTAGCATTAATACCTTTTAGCTACTTTTAGTTTTTAATAGCCAAGTTTAAGCTTCTAGCCACTGTTTTGCTATTTTTGTCTGTTGGCTTGCCTTTTGCTACTTTTAACTCTTAGCTGTTAACTGCATTTAGTTTTAGCTAGCCTTTTGCTGCATTAAGCTAGTCCATTTGTTGCTTTTAGCTTCTAGTTTCTCTTTTACTTCCTTTATTGTTAAGCTTTCCTTTAGCTGCTTTTAGCAGTTAGCTTGACTATAGATATGGATACTTTTAACCAGCATTTGCTAATTTTACCTCTTAGCTGTTAACTACATTTAGTTTTAGCTAACATGTTGTTGCATTTTAGCTTCTCGTTCACTTCTTTTACTGTTGAGCTTAATTTGAGCTGTTTTTAGCAGTTAGCTTGCCTGTGGATACTTTTAAGCTTTTAGCGGTTCTTTTGATACTTGGGAGTTTTGTGCTAGCTTTTCATCGCTTTCAGCTGTTCTTTAGCTCCTTTTAGCTCACGTTCTGCTTCTGTTGGCACTAGAAGCCGAGTTTCTGCTTCCTCAGTTGCAGATATTTATTTTACTCCACGCCCGTCTGAACTTCTCTCCAGCCAGATCAGCCTCCATCATGTCGGGGAACAACCTGGTTCTGCCCATAGTTCTGTGGGGCCGGACGGCGCCGACCCACTGCATCAGCAGCCTGCTGGTGATGGACGACTTCAACACCATCATCACCGGCTGCCATGATGGACAGATCTGTCTCTGGGACATGACGCCCGAGCTGAAGGTAGGAGGAGTGTTCGGCTGAGAGTTCTTTTCCTTTCACCTCCTTTTCCCTTTCCTCCCCACCCACTTCCTGTTTTTCTTTCCTTCCTGTCTCATTTTCTTTTTCATTTCCTTCCCTTTCTCATCCTCTTTCCTTTTGTCTCCTTTTTACCCCCCTTATTAATTTTCTTTCCACTTTCCTTGACCTCCTTTTCTTACCAATCACTTGACTTTTTCATTTCTTTTCACCTCCTCCTTCCTGTCCCCCCCCCACTCATTTCCTGTTGTTCTTTCCTTCTTGTTTCCTTCCCCTCCATTCTTTTATCTTCCATCTTTCCTTCTCATCTCCTTCCCTTCCATTTTGCGTTTTTCCTTTATCGTCCATCTTTCTCTTCCTTTCTCCTTTTCTTTTGTCTTTCTCTGTCCTGTCCCTCCCCGTCTTCAGATTTGTCCCCGGGCGATGCTGTTCGGCCACACGTCCTCCATCACCTGTTTGTCCAAAGCCAGCCTCTGCGGGGACAAGCAGTACATCGTCAGCGCTTCAGAGAGCGGGTGAGTCCAGAACGAGACGAGCGTTCGCAGAACAGGAAACGACCACGTGTCGTTCTCCTTCTGTTCTTGTTTGTGTTCATCGTCGGGCTGTCGTCGTTTCCAGGGAGATGTGTCTGTGGGACGTCAACGACGGTCGGTGTATCGAGTTCACCAAGCTGGCCTGCGCCCACACGGGGATTCAGGTAAACCTGGACCCCCATGCAGTGAAGCACGGCGGAGGTCGCATCCTAATGAGGGTCGCACTTGCTGAAAAAAAATGGACAAAACTGGATTAAAATTTAAAAAACATTTGTGTCAAAAACTTGTTCAGAGACAAACAATTTGTTTTACGCTTCTAAAAACTAAAACGATGTTTGAAAATTAAACGCGTCAGAAACGTTTCCTGGTTCCGTCAGTTCTATCAGTTCACCATCGGCACGCAGAAGGAGGGGCGCCTGCTCTGCAACGGCCATTACCCAGAAGTCCTTGTGGTGGACGCCACCAGCCTGGAGGTTCTGTACTCGCTCGTGTCCAAGATCGCCCCCGACTGGATCAGCTCCATGAGCATCGTCCGCTCGCATCGCACGCAAGGTGAGACACGAGCCGCCCGGCTGCGAGGAGCGGGCGCTCGCCTCCGATTTTTCTTGTAACACGCGTGACCTGTGTGCCGCAGAGGACACGGTGGTGGCGGTGTCGGTGACGGGCATCCTGAAGGTCTGGATCATCACAGCCGAGGTCAGCAGGATGCAGGTACACCCCAACACCCCTTTGTTTGTTTGTTTACTTCTGTTCATGTAAACACTCTGATTTATGCACAAACGTGCTTTTCTCTATAAAATCCAAAGAAAGTACGACACAGAATGCTAGCTAAATGCTAAAAAGACCAAAACATTGGCTTAAAGCTAACGCAAGCTAAGCACATGCAGCAAGCTAAAAATAAAGTGTTAACGAAAAGCTGAAAAGGATTAGCTAAAAGTAGCAAAAGCACTAGCTACATATAAAACTAGTAAAAGGCTAACAGTGTAGTAACGGACTAGCTAAAAGTAGCAAAAAGCTCAGTACAACGTTAACTAAAAGCTAACGCGGTGAATGTACAAAAAAAACAGCAAAAAGACTGCTAAAAAATTGACTAACAAAAATTAGCGTGAAGTAGAAAAAGGCTGCTATAAGCTAAAGCAACAAAAGTTTAGCTAATAACTAAAAGGAACATAAGGTTAGCTAAATGTAGCAAATGCACTAGCTACAAAATAAACTTTAAAATAGCAAAAGGCTAACTGTGTAGTAACAGACTAGCTAAAAGTAGCAAAAACAAATAGACGGTGATCTTAGAGCTAAAAAAACAACAAAACGTTAGCTAAAAGCTAAAGATGTGAAAGTGTAAAAAATAGCTAAAGTATTTCTAAAAATTTGAAAACAAAAGTTAGCTTGAAGTCGCAAAAAGTTGTCTATAAAGTAAAGCAGCAAAAGTTTAGCTAAAAGGGTTAAAAGATCAGCTAAATCTTGTTTCAAAAAGTAGCTAAACAGTCGGTGTCCGGTGGTGACGTGTGTCTGTGTTCAGGACCTGGACCCGGTCTTTGAGGAGGAGTCCAAACCCATCTACTGCCAGGGCTGTCAGAGCATCTCCTTCTGCAGCTTCACTCAGAACAGCCTGCTGGTCGTCTGCTCCAAGTACTGGAGGGTAAGAAGCCGCCGGCTGACCGCAGGTCGGCGCCAGAAACCAGCACCGACCGTTGTCTCTCTGCGCCAGGTGTTCGACGCCGGCGACTACTCGCTGCTCTGCTCGGTGCCCAGCGACGGCGAACAGGCGTGGACCGGAGGAGAGTTCGTCTCTGCGGACAAAGTCATCGTCTGGACCGAGGACGGCTGCAGTTCGGTCTACAAGCTGCCGGCCAGGTGAGCCTCGCCGCTAACTTTAGCTCCTAGCTAACCCGTGTGGACATGACAAACAGCGGGCGGCTCTTCTCTCGCTCCTCAGCTGCCTGTCTGCCAGCGAACACTTCCGCAGCGACGTCGGCAGAACCAAAGAAGGCGCGGTCCCTCCGCTCGTCTACAGGATCGCCGATCGACCCGACAAACAGGCGAGTGCAGCCGAGGCCTTCTAAATACTCGCCGCAGGCCTGAGAACGAGGGTCGGCGCCGGGGTCTGGTCATCCTGAGGTTGCAGGTTTGAGTCCAGCTCAGGAGGATCATCTGGCATCAAATTTAAATTAGCTGAAATGAACACAAATTATGAAATTAACTAAAAAAAAAAAGCTGACATTAGCAAATAAAATTATCTGAAAAGATAAAAAGAAGCTTAAACTACTAGAAGGAAGCGGAAAGAGCAGAAATGAGCCAAAAAAGTGGAATTAGCTGAAAATCTAGCATCAAAAGAGCTAAATATTATCTGAAAGAGCTGAAAGGAGCAAAACAAGCTGAAATGATCAGAAATAAGTTAATTAGACTGAAAGTAGCATGAGAAAATCAGATTTATCTGAAAACAGCTGAAATTAGCTTAAACTGCTAACCAGGTAGCTGAAAAGGTAGAACATGCTTAAATTAGCAGAAGAAAATAGAAATAATACGTTTGCCCAATTAAGCTTAAAGAAGCCGAAATGAGCACAAAAAGTGGAAATTATTTTAAAAAGCTGAAATTACAAACAAACCCAACTTCTAACAAGTAGCTAAAAGAGTAGAAAAAAAAGCTTAAATTACCAGAAGGAAGTGGAGAGCACATTTTTGATGAATTGGGCTGAAAAAAGTTTAAACGAGTGCAAAAAAAATGTGGAATTAGCTGAAAAAGCTAAAATTAGCATAAAAACAGGTAAATAGTAGCTGAAAGGGAGAATGTCAAGCTGAAAGAAGCTGAAGCAGAACAAAATATGAAAGGAGCAGTAAAAGGTTGTCAACAGATCTAAAAATTAGCTCAATTCATTTTCTATGAGGAAAAAAAATGTCAGAAAAGGCTAAACTTTTCAAGAAGCTAAAGTTGCACCATACCAGAAGTCATAGCAGGATCGTCCTGAAAGAGCCGAACGTTTTGATGCCTAAATTTATGAGATGGATTAAAAACTGCAGAACGAAAATGGCACCAAAACGTACGGAATATGGATAGAAGTTGGAATTGGGAATAACGAATATAAACAGGCAAACAACAGTGTGAATGAGTTCAGATGTTTTGTTCTCGGTGGAACACGATGAATACTTGACGCGTCCAGGAAGCGGCAGCTCGTTCCGTTTTGTGTTTTGGCAGCGACTCTTCTCAAACGTGTTGAGACCGAAGCAGCAGAAGCTCCAGGAGGAGCATCTAGCAGCTGGTTGGATAACTGTCAGGTCAGGTAGACCGGTGAACCTCTGCTCGCAGCTTCAGAGTCTAACCTCTGAGCTCAAAGGTCGAAGCTGAAGGTCAGCGTTGGACGGTCGTGTCCTTCGGGCCCTCAGGGGCCACTGCACTAAAACCAGGTCTGGTTCTGTTCTGGACTCGGGAACAATTCCACAGATCATTGTCTGTAAACACAGATGCTGCTTAAAGCTCTATCAGGCAAAGAAGCCAGATGTGAACACCGTCCAGAACTGCTGCCGTCATCTCTGGACCAGAACTGTTCTGTGGTCGGACGGATCCGAACCTGAAGTTCTGTTTGGAAACCCTGAGTGCCACGTCCTCTGTACTAAAGAGCCCGTTATCGGCATACAGTTCAAACGTCTGCCTCTCTGGTGGTATGGGGGTGCATTAGTGTGTTTGGCATGAGCAGCTAGCACATCTGGAAAGACTCTATCAATACAGAAAAACATCTGCAGGTTTTAGAACATCTGCTCCAATCCAGGACTTTAGGACAGTTAGAATCCTCCTTCAGACCCGAACAAGGCAACATTACACTTTTAATTTTAGCTTTTGCTAATTGTAGCTTTTAGCTTCTTTTGAGTGAACCTCCTTTTTTGTGCTAACCTTAATTTTAACTTTTACTGGCTTTACTGTTGAGCCACTCTTGTGCTTTTACTCTAAGCAACTGTTTTAGTTTTTGTTCGGCTTGTTTTAGCTTCGACAGTTTGGTTTTAGCTTCTGTTTTGCTTGTTTTAGCATTGATAGTTCAGTTTTAGCTTTTGTTCGACTTGTTTTAGCTTCGACAGATCGTTTTTAGTTTTTGTTCAGCATATTTTAGCTTTGACAGTTTGGTTTTAGCTTTTGTTCGGCACGTTTTAGCTTTGACAGATCGGTTTTAGTTTTTGTTCGGCTTGTTGTGGCTTTGACAGTTCTGTTTTAGCGTCTGTTCGGCTTGTTTTAGCTTCAACATTTCTGTTTTAGCTTCTGTTTGGCTTTTTTTTAGCATTGACAGTTCTGTTTTAGCGTCTGTTTTGCTTGTTTTAGCATTGATAGTTCAGTTTTAGCTTTTGTTTGGCTTGTTTTAGCTTTGACAGATCGGTTTTAGTTTTTGTTCGGCTTGTTTTAGCTTTGACAGTTCTGTTTTAGCGTCTGTTCGGCTTGTTTTAGCTTCAACATTTCTGTTTTAGCTTCTGTTTGGCTTTTTTTTAGCATTGACAGTTCAGTTTTAACTTCTGTTCGGCTTGTTTTAGCTTCTGCTCGGCTTGTTTTAGCGTCTGTTCGGCTTGTTTTAGCTTCTGTTTGGCTTGTTTTAGCGTCTGTTCGGCTTGTTTTAGCTTCGACCGTTCTGTTTTAGCTTCTGCTCGGCTTGTTTTAGCTTCTGCTCGGCTTGTTTTAGCTTCTGCTCGGCTTGTTTTAGCTTCTGCTCGGCTTGTTTTCACTTTACCCGTTGAGCTTCAGCTCGTCTGTATGTTTTGCAGATAATTCATTAAAAATCATTTACGTTTTTGTCTTTAATGTATGAATTTATTTATTTTAATTTTATTTTTCTGTCTTTTTATTGCCTCCACGCACCCTCCGTAACATTGCCACCTCTCCCTTCTCTCAGACGGGAGAGGGAGGAGGCGAGGACCAGGAGGAGGAGGAGGAGGAGGTGGTGGTGTGCCTCCCTCCTGGCGGGTACGACTTGGAGCTCTACACTCCTCAGCAGCTTTACCAACACCGGCCTCTAGAGGCGCCTGTAAGCTCCAACAACGAACCCTCTGGTTTTTATTCTCTCTTTCCACTGAAGCACCTCCCCCCACCTCCTCCTCCTCCTCCTCCTCTGGCTTCATACTGATGAAGACGTAACGCCTCCCGAGTTAATGTCGGACCTCTGAAGGCTCTGTACGTCAGACTTTGTTACAAACAGCTGCGGGTCAGGACGGGGAACTCCTGCTTTTATTTTTGCGGACAGAGAGAAATAAAATTAAAATTTTATTCATAATTTATATCTGTTCCTACTTTTATTTTTGCGGACAGAGGGAAATAAAATAATATTTTTTTTATCTGTTCTTTTAATTCAGGCTCCGATAAAAGTTGGGATGGTAAAGTGTTTGCACTTCCTGTTTCTTCTTGTGTTGTTTGACTGAATCACTGCTGGACCCCTTTCTTCACGTGTTTGCTCTTCTGCTCAACCCCCCCCCCCCCC